TGGGGGCTTGGCTGTGTTCTGATTGGGTGGGGGGGTGTTCTCATTGGTAGGGGGTTTGGCTGTGTTCTGATTGGTTGGGGGGTTAGCCGTGTTCTGATTGGTTGGAGGCGTGTTCTGTTCAGGAGGGGGCTTGGTTGTGCTCAGGTTAGTTTTAGTTGCTGGGGGATTTGAGCTGGAGAGTTGTGATCTTGCTGTTTGGCTTCTAGTTCGTGGTCCTGCTGCATCTTCATAGTGGGTGTCAGTTTGCTTCATGTATGGCTCAGAGGGGTTTGAAGTGGGTAGTGATGCAGCTGCAGTGCAGCTTCTGGTCCATGGTCGTTTCTCATTTTCTGAATGGGTGGGAGTCTGTTTTCTACATGGAAGTGTGGTGGTGGCATCTTGTGTGGCTCTCATGGGTGTGGGTCCAGTGTCCTTCTTCATGTTAGGTACTCGTCTGTTCATGAGGGCGGGTTTCCAAATGGCTGGAAGGCGGGAGGTGTCATCTCGTTTGTTCATGCTGTGTGGGCGTTTTTCTATCTCTATGGCTTCTCTGATTATTCTGCTGTTGAAGTGTTCGGTTTTGGCGATAGTTCTGGTATTTTTAAAATCAATTTCATGTCCTGTGGCTTTGAGGTGTTGGACCAGGGAAGAGGTCGTTTCTTCTTTTTTGATTGAGTTCTTATGTTCTTCAATGCGTGCACTTATTCTTCTGTTAGTTTGTCCAATGTATGTGTTAGGGCAGGCAGTGCAGGGGATTTCGTATACTCCTTGGTTTTCTAATTCGATTTTGTCTTTGGGGTTTCTTAGGATGGTGGATATTTTTTTGTTTGTGCAGAATGCTGTTTTGATGTTGTGTTTTTGGAGGATCTTGCTAATTTTGTCTGTAGTGCCTTTTATATATGGGAGGAGGGCTTTTCCGTTTTCTTGTTCTCTGTCTTGGATTTTGGTAGGGGCTTCTTTTTGGATTAGGTGGGTAATCTTCTTTCTTTGGAATCCATTGGCTGTAAGTACGTTGGTGAGAGTGTGTAGTTCGGTTTTTTGGTGTTGTTCATCGGCTAAGCATTTTGTTCTGGAGATGAGTGTCTTGGCTACGGAATTGATCTGTGCTGGGTGGTGGTGTGAGAGTGCATGTAGATAGCGGTTAGTATGTGTTTTCTTCTGGTAGATGGTGTGTCCTAGGGAGCCATCGGATCTTTTGTATACCAAGACATCCAGGAAGGGAAGTTGATTGTTGGCTTCTGTTTCCATGGTGAATTGTATTTTGGGGTGTAGACTGTTGAGGTATGTGAGGAAGTTGTTCAGTTTTTCTTTCCCGTGTGGCCAGATTATGAAGGTGAGAACACCCCCCCACCCAATGAGAACACCCCCCCACCCAATCAGAACACAGCCAAGCCCCCACCCAATCAAGTTCCACCCCCACTGGCAGTTAAAAGGAGGAAGCAGCTGCAATCTCCATTACTCTGAGAAGCACAGAGCTGGAGACAGAAGCCTGAAGATGATGAATGAGACTTCATCGAAACGTTGCCTAGATACTTCGAATCTTACGCGGGAGAAAACCCGAACAACCAAAGATCTACATATAAATACCCGCGAGAACCTCAGAAAACATATATATATATATATATATGTATACATACACACACATACATATACACATATATACGTATGTATATAAATATGTGTGTGTGTGTGTGTGTGTGTGTGTGTATACACACACACATACACACACATATATATATATGGCATTCAGCTTTGTTTGGGTATTTTCCCACGTCATTATAGTTGTGCTTTTAAAGTTGTAGCAACCTTTCGGCAGAATCTCATCTGCCATCATCAGGCTTCTGTATTGTGTTCATCTGTGAGTCAGACTTTCACAGCCGTTTCTGTTTTAAATTTTGGGCTAGCCTACTGCTGTGCCAGAATGGTTTTTTCTTCATCCTGATTGGTTGGGAGTCTTGGTCTGTGTTTGTTGGTCTTGGAGTTTGCTGTGTTCTGCTTGATTGGTGTTTCTAATATCTTCTGTCTGTTTTGTGGCTTTTTTTGATTGGCTGGCAACATTGTGTTCCTGTATTGGAGGCCTTTAGTGCAGCTTGGCTCTGGGTAAATGGACGGCTATCATTAGTTAGGAAGCTAGGTTTCACCTGGGTGCCTGGTTGGGGTGTGTTTGAGCTGGAGGTATCAGGGGGGATCTGTTTGTGCCCAGGTGTTTGCCTGGCTTGTGGTGTGGAGATTTTTTTGTTTGAGAGTGCAGGCTTCCAAATGATTGACAGTCTGGTGGAATCCTCTCTTCTATTCATGCTTCCAGGTCTTTTTTCAATCTCTATGGCTTCTCTGATGATTCTGTGGCTGGGGTTTTCTATCGTGGCTAGGGTTCTGGTGCCATCGAAGTCGATGCTATGACCTGTGGCTTTCATGTGTTGGACTAGTGAGGACGTGTGTTCCAGCTTTTTTATTGCATTTTTGTGTTCATCCAGGCGGGTCCTTATTCTTCTATTGGTCTGTCCAATGTATGTGGCCGGGCATGATGCACAGGGGACTTCGTATATGCCTTGGTTTTCCAGGTCAGCAAAATGGCTGAAACAGCTGGCTGGGGAAATTCTGAGAATTGAAGTCCACAGGTCTTAAAGTTGGCGAAGTTGGAGACCCCCCTGCTCTAACAGGACTTCCCTCTGGTTGAACTTCAACCCTTGCTGACCACGCCCCCCGCGACTCACCCCCAGACGCTCCAGAGAGCAGCCGTAATTCTGCTTCTGCAGGATACCGTTGCGTCGGACCTCCGAGCCCGTCACTAGCCAGGTCACCTTGGAACGCAGCTCCAGGAGAGACGAGGGCAGCCCCGTGGCCATGCAGGAGGCATCCGAGGGCAGCAGTGTGGTCAAACCCACGTGGACCGACCCGGACCACTTGTCGTCCATCTTGTCGATCTTCACCTAAGGAGACACAAAAGGAGAAGCAGAAACTTAACCCATTTGAAGAGTTTTTTTTTTTAAATGGTTTATACCTTTCTTTCTCTTCTTTAAAATACGTAAATGCTTAATGAACAGTGTATGGTCTGGATCTGTTTGTTCGTACAAAGTATTAATAAACTGGTACTGAGAGTAATATAATAACAAGCATAATTAAAACACTAATAATTACTTACCTGGGCTCCCCCGAAAATAAGACCCTGCCCTATAATTTTTTTGCCACCAAAAAAAAAGGCACCAGGTCTTATTTTCGGGGGCGAGGGAATGACCTCCACGGACTAACCTCACTTGCGTGCGTCGTCACTGGCTTCCTTCCGGGAGTCCTTCTTCCGCGGCCGGCAAGGCCTTCCTGAAGGCCTCTGCAGCTGATAAGTGCCGATAACTCTCCGGAGCTTTGTTCCAAGCTACAGAGGCCTTCAGGAAAGCCTTGCCAGCCTTGCCGGCTGCTGAACAAATGGGACAGCAAAGCAGGCGCGCGAGGCCTGGCTACACCTGTCCAAAGGTAAGTAGTAGGGTAGCTCCATTCCCTCCCCCCATCCCCACCCTAGCTTAATTCTTAATTCTCGTCCACTCTGGAGTGGGTGGGATCTTAATTAGGGCTTATTTTGGGGGGTAGAGCTTATATTGGGTGCACATGTAAAAAAATCAAGCTAGGACTTACTTTCAGGGTAGGTTGTATTTTCGGAGAAATGGTATTCGTGATTAAATTCTTACTTATAATGATAACACTGGTAATAAAAATAATAGTAATAAGTGTAACATAAGTACTAATGTTTGCTTATATATAATTTCTTGCATTCTTTTCTTATATATATTATTAATCTTTCATCTTCTAGTTTCCACCTCTTTTATCCAACCATTGAGAGAACATATCCCATATTAAAAAGTATTGTTTCTTCCGTTATCCTTTATAATTAATGTTTATCTATCCATCTCTGCACAGTCTAATATTTTCCCAATTATACTATATCTGTAGGTGTGCCTTCGTCTTTCAAATGTTCTGCAAATACAATTCTTGCTGCCATCAACACATGTATTATTAAATATATCGTCTCTTTATTAGTTTTGTGGTACTATACCTGATAAAAATATTTCTGGTTTTAAATCTATGTGTAGTTTTATCATTTTCTCTAACCAGGTATGTATTCTTGCCTAGAATTTATTTTGCTTTTTGGACAAATCTATCACATGTGGACATCTGAAGTGGTGTAGGGTTTCCTGCCTGGGCAGGGGGTTGGACTAGATGACCTCCAAGGTCCCTTCCAACTCTGGTATTCTATTCTATATGCGGTAGTACTCTGTTCCCTGAAAATACGACCTAATCTGAAAGTAAGCCCTAGCCTGATTTTTTACATGGTGCCCAATATAAGCCCTACCCCCCAAATAAGCCCTAATTAAGATTCTAGCCCACTCCGGAGTGGTCCGGTAAAAATTACACTAGGGTGGTAATGGGTGGGTAGAGCTGCCCTACTACTTACCTTCGGACAGTTGTAGCCAGGCCTCGCAGACCCCGACACCTGCCTTGCCGGACCGTTTCTTCAGCAGCCGGCAAGGCTGGCAAGGCTTTCCTGAAGGCCTCTGTAGCTGAGAACAAAGCTCTGGATCGATCCTGAAGGCTGCAGAGGCCTTCAAGAAAGCCTTGCCGGCCGCAGAAGAAGGACTTCTGGAAGGAGGCCGAGGGTGACATGCGCAAGTGAGGTTAGTCGGTGGAGGACATTTCCTGAAAATAAGCCCTGGTGCCTTTTTTGGTGGCAAAAAAAAATATGGGACAGGGTCTTATTTTCGGGGGGAAACAGGTAAGTAATTATTAGTATTTATTAGTGTTCCACGGGGGTCTCCATGAGGTACCCTTTGGCCAGGTGGGATAACATGTCCTTCATGGGTGGGAGGGGATATAGATTGTGTACACACAGTCTATCGATCACCCTAAAGTCAACGCATAACCACATAGCCCCATCTTTTTGAATGAATGGATGTTTCTCAGAGTCAGCAAGCTGTCAGGATTCCGGCACTTAACCCCATTTAAATCATGAGTCTCGAGACAAACTTCCAAACCTTCAAAAGGATTTATTGGAAGTTGAAAGGTCCGGCACTGCCTGGGTTTAGCCGACTCTGAGACCCATCATTCATTGTCACCCTTGACCCTGTTTTCTCCCCCACCCCTCTGGGTGTATCGTAATTCATATTCTCCAATGGGACACGTCCATAGCCAAGAGCCATCAATCATGCTCTCCAGTTAGAATTTTGCTTGGCAGAAACTTCAGTCACCTACTTACTATCTTTGAAAAACTATTTATAGAATGCACTTTCGATTTCCAAGCTGCCGCACCGCTCCCCCCTCTCCCTTTCTGTTGGCAACTCTAAAAAGACCATAGACATATTTGATGAGTTGACACCCTCACCTCAGGATAGGTGTGGACGGTCTCACCTCAAAGATTTCATCCGTCTTCAGTTCCTTCATGCTGAAAACGATGCCGTGGCAGAAACTGGACACCCGCACAGCTCGGCACCCGTCCTCCTGAAAGGCCACGTTTTTGCCGCAGGAGCTGTGGAAACGGTGGGCCACGCCGGGAACTGGAGGGGGGGGACAAGGGTGGTCATTGGGGCATCGAGTCTCGGGGGACACCATGGGCCTTTACTGACCCCAAACCCTCAAGGGGGAGGGGAGGCTCACCTGGGGAGTGGATGGGGAAGGATTTCTCTGTGATGTTGCTGGTGGAGAGGCTGTTGTCCAGGGGCCCCGTGGAGCTGGTGATGGACACCTGGACGCACTGGCCGTAGAGGTCCACCACGGCGTAGACCTCTAAGCGGGGGCGAGAAAGAGCGGAGGGGAGAAATCGGATCAGGCTCAGTTCAACCCAGGCAGAAAAAAAATGGAATAGAATAAAATAGAATGGAAAAGAGGATAGAATGGAAATAATAGAAAACGGAACAGAACAGAATAGAACTAACAGAACAGAATAAAATAGAAAATAGAATAGAAAATAGAAAATAGAATTAACAGAAATATAATAGAATAAAATAGGATAGAATGGAATTAGAAAATAGAATAGAATAAAATAGAATAGAAAATAGAATGGAATTAATAGAAAATAGAAGATAGAAGATAAAATAGAATTAATAGAAGATAGAATTAACAGAAAATAGAATTAATAGAACAAAATAGAATAAAATAGAATAGAATAGAAAGTAGAATGGAATAGAAAATAGAATATAGAATAGAATATAAGATAAACTAGAATTAATAGAAGATAGAATTAACAGAAAATAGAATTAAAAGAATAAAATGGAATAAATAGAATAGAATTGAAAGTAGAATGGAATTAATAGAAAATAGAATATAGAATAGAATATAAGATAAACTAGAACAGAAGATATAATTAACAGAAAGTAGAATTAATAGAATAGAATAGAAAATATAGTGGAATTAATAGAAAATAGAAGACAGAATAGAAGATAAACTAGAATTAATAGAAAATAGAATTAACAGAAAATAGAATAGAATAGATAGAATGGCATGGCACGGCATAGAATAGAATAACAAGAATTAGAAGGGACCCTATCACATTTTTCTAAGCTGTTGTAACTTGGAATGAACCGTTGTAAGTCAATGACTAGCCGTATTTGAACCTCAGTCTTTTAACACGGGTGGACTTCAACTCCCAGAATTCCCCCAGCCAGCTGGGTTTTTTTTTCTTTTTTTAAGATTTGCTGAAGTCAAGATATATTACGTCTTACTGCATTCCCACCGTCTACTATCCAAAACAAAACAAAAGAGTTCTGGGAATTCTGGGAGTTGAAGTCCCCTGGTCTTGGGTTTTGTTGGAAAGGCCTGCTCCACCCATCACGTCCCCCCCCTTTGACCTTCGCTACAACGGCCTCACCCTTCCCTGGGGGCAGTCCGGAGCATGCCACCCCCTGGTCCACGCTGTTGATGAAGTAATGCAGGTCCCCCTTCACCGTCCGCATCATGCCAATGCGCGACCCCGTGGTCAGCGAGTCCAAGTCGCAGCCGTAGTTGTTGCGCAGGGTGTTTCCGTCCTGCATAATGGCGGTGCCGCTGAAAGGAGAGGGAGGGAGGGGGGGGGGGAGGAAAAAAACTTACACCCGCTGCTGCTGGTCTTCGTTGCAATGCTGCGCATGGAGGAAAGGGGGTTGGGGAGTGGAGAGTAAGGCGGACATCTTGACTTTTTTGCCCTCCCGGGAGGACAGAAGAGGAAAGGACCAAAGGCACTGGGGCTCCCCAGGGGCCAAGTAAGATCGGAAGACTCAGTTCGGGCTCCCCAACAGCTGAGATTCAAGAATTCTCGGGTGAAAGTCGCCTAGCCAAAGGCGGGACTAGAACTCCCAATCTCTTGGTGATTGGATCCAGCTGGATTTGATGCCTAGGGTGGGACGAGAACTTCCTGTCTCCTGGTGATTGGTCCAAACTCACCCAGCTGATTTTCATGCCTAAGGCGGGATTAGAACTCCCAGGCTCCTGGTGATTGGTCCAAACTCACCCAGCTGATTTTCATGCCTAAGGCGGGATTAGAACTCCCAGTCTCCTAGTGATTGGCCCAAAGTTACCCAGCTGGCTTTCGTGCCTATGATGGGACTAGAACTCCCAATCTCTTGGTGATTGGCCCAAAGTCACCCAGTTGGTTTTCATGGCTAAAGTGGGACTAGAACTCCCGGTCTCCTGGTGATTGGGCCAAAATCACCTAATTAACTTTCATGCCTAAAGTGGCGCTAGAGCTCACCATCTCCTAGTGATTGGCCCAAAGTCACCCAGCTGATTTTCATGGCTAAGGTGGCACTAGACCTCAGCGTCTCCTGGTTATTGGACCAGAGTCACCTAACTGGCTTTCATGCCTAAGGCGGGACTAGAACTCACCATTTCCTGGTGATTGGCCCAAACTTACCTAGCTCGCTTTCATGCCTAAGACGGAACTAGAACTCCCATCCTCCTGCTGATTGGCCCAAAGTCAGCTAGTTGGTTTTCATGCCTAAAGCGGGACTAGAACTCCCCGTCTCCTGGTAATTGTCCCGAAGTCACGTAGCTGCCATTCATGGCTAAATCAGGACTAGAACTCCCCGTCTCCTGGTTTCTATCCTGGTGCCTTTACCGCTAGACCAAACTGGCTCCCATTGTTAGATTAGTTCTCCTTCTTTGCCTCCATCCTTACTTACTTACCTGAGCATCCAGGTATCGTAGTCAATGTCCGTCATTGTATTGGGAAATTCCAGGTCTTCCGGACGGATGGCGGTGACTCCTGCGCGGCCGACAAAGGCCAAAAGCATTAAGGGGGGGTGGGGACACATCCCACTGACCCCCCCTCCAGACCCCCAATCTCTCCCCCCTGCCCTCACCTGCTTCAATGGAGCCCGACCAACGATCCACCATCTTCTGGATAACGATTTCGAACAGTTCGCCATCCCGGAGGGGCCTGCGGGAATCAAAGCTTGTGAGGCAAGCGATCACACCAAACGACTGGAATTCTGGGCTCAATTGCTGTCGTTGAGCGGAGCACTGCCTGCTAATTCCTTCCGTTCCCACCCCTTAGAGGCAGTGCTCGACTCACAACAGTTCGTTTAGCGACCGGCGGAAGTTACAAGAGCGCGGAAAGAGGCAAACGAGGATTGTTTTCCACGCTAACGGCCGTTACGTTGTTATCAAAATTTGAATGCTTGGGTGACCGGCATGGACTTATGACCACTGCCACGTCCTGGGGTCATGTGATCCCCTTTTGCAGCCTTCTGACACGCCGTGGGGGAACCCCGTGTTCTGACCTCAGCTTCCCCAAAAAGCACTACGCAGATTTTTTTATCCCGGCAAAACCCCTTTTTATTAAACGAAGGTGAATTTCTGGCATTTACTTTCAGCAAAGGCCTGGCACACAGTCTTTCAAGGGTCTAATTAGGAGCACGGACCTTATCTAGCCTGGAAAGCTGCCGAGTAATTATTTCCAAACACAGTGCTAACAAGGAAGAACTCAGCACAGAGTCCCTGAGATGCACAGACTGTGGCAACGAACGAACGAATTGTCTCCCGCAAAAGCCCCCTCCCCTTTCGCTCCTCTTTTATTCCCTCTGGGAGGGGCCATTCACCATCCACCTGTGGCTTTACTCCCGAGTCGACCCTTGTTCCTCAGCTGTTCCCTTCTTCTGGCAGCTCTGTGCATGTGCACACTGGGAACAGGCTCCAGCTGTTCTTCTTCCCCACTGATCCCCATCTCTACCTCCAATGCAGAGCCCTCATCTGAGCCTTCCCCAGACTCCAGGACGGGCCCAGGTTCCTCCCCAACCTCCTCACTATCCGACTCTGCCGCCAGTCACCGCCGGGCCACAACAGCCAGATTGTCTTAACAACCATATGAGTAACTCAACAACTGAAATTGGTTCACTTAACAACCGGGGTAAGGAAGGTCACAAAATGGGACGGAACTCACTTTTCACAAACATCTCATTTGGAAACATGAATTTTTGGCTCAGTTGTGGCCATAAGTCGAGGAGTACCTGTACCCGCCTTCGATTTACAACAGTTCTTTTATCGACTATTGGAAGGAAAAAGCAACCGATCACCCTTCTTGCACTTATGACCGTTGCAGATCCCCATTAATAAAAATCCGATGCTCAGTGACCGACTCGTATTTATGATGGACGCAGCGTCCGGGGAGAGAGAGGAATCCTGTGAGATCCCCTTTTGCGACCCTTTGACGAGCCAAGTCAACGGAGGGGAGGTAAGCCCAATTCACTTAACGGCCGTGTGACTAACTCAAAACGACTGCATCGATTTCCTCAACAACTGCAGCCAGAATGGTCGCAAAACGGGGCAAAGCTTAACCATCCCATTCATAACTTCACAACTTGCAAGGGGTTCCCCTTAGCCGCAGCAAGCAAGAATCTAGGGCTCAGTTGCAGTTGTTAACCGAGGACTAGGTTAATTTAATTTACCGTTCTTGCACCACGTACAACAAAATTAAATGCCATCTTCACTGCACATCATGACCATGAAAATAAAACGCATCCTTCACATTCTATATACAGTGAAATGAAAACCCCTGATATCGCATTCATATTGCACCATACAGCAGAATTCAACAGAGCTCCTGCCCTGGGATAGAAGCTGTTTATTCGGCCAATCTGTCCTTGTTTTTATTCTCCTGTACCGTCTGCCAGATAGCAACAGTTCAAAACAAGGGTGCCCGGGATGAGATAAATCTTTGAGAACGTCTTGAACTTTCTTAAGGCAGCTGGAGCGATAAAACTCTTCCAAAGAGGGGAGAGGGCAGCCCACGATCCTCTGGGGCAATGACATTAACACCCCCCCACCCCAGTGCTTTCCTATCTGCCCCCGTGCGATTGGCAAACCCTACAGAGGTGCAGGAAGTTAAGATACTCTCTCTGGTGCAGCGGTGGAAGGTCACCAGCAGTTTCTCATTCAGTGGTTGTTTTCTGAGAAGCCTCAGGTGGTCTAATCTCTGCTGGGCCCTTTTGACCAGGGCTGCAATGTGAGCCCCCCAGGTCAGGTCCCCTTTTAGGGTAACTCCCAGAAACTTAAAACTGGCCACTTGCTCCCCTCGGTCTCCCTTGATAAGGAAGGGCTGGATGTCTGGTCTGTTCCTTCTATATAGTCCACTATCAGCTCCTTGGTCTTATTGGCGTTGAGGACCAAGTTATTGTCTCCACACCACGAAAGCAACCGTTGGTCCACCTCGTCTCAGGAGGCAGACTATGAGTCCCACCACTGTTGTATCATCGGCCAATTTAGCAATAGTGTTACTGGCGTGAGTGGGAATGCGGTCATGCCCATAAAGAGTATAGAGTAAGGGACTCAACACGCAACCTTGACTAGTCGCAGGGATGGGATTCCACTGGTGGAACAACTGGTGCCCAACAGCTGATCGTTGGAGAGAACCGGTTCGCTCCCAGCTGATCTTCAGAGCTCCTGGTTTGCCCGAACCCGTGCCGAATCCCATCCCTGACGTGTTGCCAACTCGCCCTTTCACTGACCGGTTGGAGATGACAATGGCGTCGTTGAATTCACTGCGGCAGTTCTGGCGCAGGGCCGTGCGCCCCCCGTTGGTGATGACGGCGTTGTTCCCGTGGAGGTGATGGAACCGCAGGTCGCTCCCTGAAGCCACGGAGGAGGGGCTGCTGGGGGAGAGCTGGTTGTTCCCCTCCGAGAGATCGTCGGGAAGAGGGAGGAGATCTGGGAAGGAAGGGAGGGCGAGACCAGGAGTGGAGCTTCAGACGGTTTCACGCCAGTTCGGCCAAAACGGATTTTAGTTTTACATCTGGTTGGGTGGAAAACTGGCCGTTCCGACGACTGTCTGACCCCGCCTACTCCTCCCCTCCCCTCCCCGGAGTCCCTGAGCAGCCCATTTTGGATCGCAGGTAAGTGCAGGGCAAATGAATGATGTATTCTAGTATCGACTGGCTGTCAGGACTCCAACCAATCTACCCGCATTCGAATCGTAAGTCTCTAGCCGCACAGAAAAATCAAATCGATTTATTAGGAGCGGCCCTGTCGGCATTAGCTGGGTGCAGCTGACACTAAAATCCATCACTCATTTCCCCCTTGACCCTGGTCTTCCTCCCACCTCCCCTGGATGTATATTCTCCGATGGGACACCTCCACAGCCAAGAGTCATCAATCATGCTCCCCAGTAATAATCTTCTGTGCCAACATCTTCGGCTGCTTAGCAATTATCTGAAGCATTTGTGGAATGTACTGCTTCCCCCCCCCCATTCCCTTTTTCTGGCCTTAAAAGACCAAGGGAGTATCTTTTTAGTTGACAGCCCCTGTGGAGGTTTGGGGAGGGGGCCTCTCAGAAGTTCCACGAGGCCGGAAACGGGCGTGTTTCCGGAGAGCCTTGGGAGCTCAGGGCAGCCTACTAGGTCAAAAATGGGGTGCAAGGGGGGGGGTATTGCAGCGTGGCCCCTCGCGGCCCAGTTTCATTCCCAAGGTGGTGCAGGGAGTTGGCTAGGCCACTGCCACGCCCACCCAGCAACCGGGACAGAGAACCGGTTACCTGGTCCAGTGAGGGCAGATCATTGCGAGACAAGAGTCTATTCTTGATTCACGGCTATATAGAGGAGGCCTACAATATTTAGTCAAATGGAAGGGATATCCTTGAGGTGAGGCATCATGCAATGGACACATTGGTGTTAATGCACCACGTCGTCAACGGAGTACCCTGGGAAGCCCAAGGGGGGGGACGTGAATTACTACGGTGATAATTATTTCCTTTTTAATTGCTTTACAGGCAGATCTCTGGTAGAGGGTTTGAATGTCAGCTGTCAGCCCCGAATCAGCTGGCCATGTCACCGTATCTCTGCTGCTGCTAGATCTGTACTTCTGCTTGTGCGCTGGCCAATGACTTTGGCGTGACTCAGCGGAGCTGAGGATGGATTCTGCAACAACTACGGGGGAGGAGGTTGGATTCTGCAACAACTACGGAGGAGGAGGATGGATTCTGCAACAAC